TAAATGTAGATAAAAAATAACAAACAATGCGAACTGTCGATGCTCAAGCCAAGCCTGTCAATATTCAGTGTGAATTGTGAAATAACCTGATCACCAACAGAATATGCCGTTACATAGATACATATAAAAGTTTCTTTTTCGACCACTTTTCAAAAATTTCAAACAGTGAGGAGTCCTTATTGCTTTGGTTTTTATCGAAGAAGTTTCTTTACTATTTTACTCTATATGTTTTATTTTTGCAAACTTTCAGACGTTTATGTTCCAATGCCAAAGCTGACATCATGATAATCACAACGGGGTCTTAAGGCTGTTTTGTAATATAGAAACAAGAAGATTGAATAACTTTAGTTCAATATCCCGGGATAACAGGACTGAATCAGCCTTAATAGCTTATTCTCCACTGTTATGTCTACCCAGCTGTAATCAATTTAGAACAAAACAAACAGTTTATTCACCCGAAAAGAAAAGCTTACAACAAGCTTATATATGGTGGCCCCTAAACCTATCTCCTCCTTTTCAGTTGAAGCATGATATAAAAATGCGCGAAATGAGTTGGTCAGGGACCTGGATCTAGATTCCCCGTTCTAGCAACCTGTTCATCAAGTCAAACTCAACAGTGTCAGCCTTATCTCTTTACACCCTAAGTATGACCAGCATCTAATCACTCCTTACAGTTATACTGCTGAATCATCCATAATATCATGAGAATAAATTAAAGGAAATGATCACCAACCAAAGAACGCCAAGTTTGGAAAAGATATTAACTGTTTCCACAGATCCAACAAAGATGCACCCCTGTAAAGAAGAACGGTGGCTAATTATTTACCCAGAGTTTTATCGTGATGTTTTTTCGGTTCCTCTAAACAACAATTTAGCCTTAAAAAAACGCCTAATTTGAAAAGATATTAACTGTTTCCACTTATCCAACAAAAATGCATCCCTGTAGAGAAAAACGGTGGCTAATTATTTACCCAGAGGTTGTTCGTGACTCCGCCTAGTTTGAAAAAGATACTAACTGTTTCCACTGATCCAACAAAGATGCGCCCCTTTAAAGAAAAACTTTGGCTAATTATTTATTGGGAGTTTGTTCGTGATGTTATTTCATCCCCTCTAAACATCAGTTCAGCTCCATTTAGCCGTAAAACAAAACAACTCCTAGTTTGAAACAATATTAACTGTTTCCTATAACATCCCGCTCATCCAACAAAGATGCACCCCTGTTAGGAAAGACAATGGCTAATTACCTGTTAAAATTGGTTGTTCGTGGTGTAGTACAATTAGCTCCAGTTGTCCATACAACACAACAATGCCTAGTTTGAAAGAAGATGTGAGCTGTTTCTAATAATATCTGAATGATCCGACCAAGATGCACCCCTGTAAAAAAAAAGAGGAGGTGGCTAATTATATAAAATATATTAACGTTTCCCAATAACATCGTACTATTCAAACACAGATATACTCCTGTGAGGAAAGACAGTGGCTAATTATCTGTTACGTGGTTGTCCGTGGAATGATATAACTTCCTTCAAGAGAACATTACTCCCTCTTAACATCCTGTCAGTTTCAGTTGGCTGTTAACAACCTACTTTTGGCAATAATGCTTCACACCCTGAAAAGAGACTAAACGGAGTCAGTTAAAGACCCAACGTGTACTTTTAGCCAGGTAGGTGTATCTTCATTCCATAGTTTGTTATAAAAATCACTTTTTTCAGATGAAAACTGAATGATGAAATTGAATTGATCACTAAAGAGATGAATCCGAATCTATTATTTCATCAAGGGAAAGATTCGTATTTTTTTTTTCCTTAAAATCTTTCATAAGCTGTCAAAAATTAATTTTTTTACACAGTTCCTCATCTTTTCCCGCAAACTGATCGCTTGCAAGAAAGACTACAAAAGGTTGAGGGCCGGATTTTAAAGCGACAAAAAATTCCTTTTTCCTCGATTACCCAAAGAGGAATTTTCCCCAAAATGATATTAGACAGCTTTCTTTTTTTTTTGAAATTTTGATGCTGTAAGTCTGTCGTGGCTTAATATTGTGTGAGAGATTATTTATCGGAAGATTAATAGGTGCGTCTTCATTTAGATATTTGTTTGTTAACATTATTATCACTTGGACTTCACCAGCCTTGCCATCCTCCTTTTAGATTTTCAAATACTCCTCCCAGTTAAATCAAAAACTTTTTCCATGAAAATGATCGCCTTCTTCTTCGCAGGTATCACAGATCTGATATGCATATGGCTGATTGGCAGGCTTCATTTTTTACCGCGCTGTTTTTCATTTCTCTCGTGTTCTGTGACATTGCCAGGCAGCAATGCCACGAAAAACAC